ATATATTGTTTAGATTAGTAACTTAGATTGTCAGTGGCTGTACCCTCAAAGGGGGTTAAAGTACTGTAAAAAAATTGTCCTCCTGAGAGGGTACGTGAGTCCCAAAACATTCAAAGTAAATTTAAACCTACTACCATTTTAATCATAGAATATATGTTCGTTTAACTTGTGGCTAGATTATCTAAAATTGCTAATAGCTGAAAGGATGATGTAAATCCAGCTAGGGTCCATACAGGAAGCAAATGTACTGTAAGTCCCCATGGACCCTAGTATGGTGATATTGCTAAAAACGGCGTAAAACCATACTCAGCCAGCCATGGTGATCTACCTTCGGTTGTTGGCAATACATAGTCTGTTTTTACCTTGTATTGTCATCTATAGTTAAACTGTTTGAAATTTAATTACTAGTTTTAAATTCAAATCTGTGATAATCTAGTTATTTTACTGTCCTTCGTTGACAGGTTTTTACAATTTACCATTATTTACTACGTATAAAATTAATTGTTCTCGTCACGATATGGCGGAAATACTCCCGATGTGACGATAAATTTTAACTCACTCACTCATGCATTCTTCACGTATGTTTCTTCCCTGATTGACTGACCCGTGAAGGTCCGGGTTAGATTATTGATTTTCAGTAACACATGCTTGTCGTAAGAGGCGACTAACGGGATCGGGTGGTCAGGCTCGCTGACTGGTTTGACACAATTCGCCTTTCATTCTGACGATTTCAACGTCCCGCCACTGCACAAGACAATGTCACATGTTCAAATGGTTACGTTCACACTATGTCCACTACGCTTTAATGTCACGGGAACAGCCAATATTCCAAAATACGCTTTTAAAAAAATTAAATTTTACATAAATCGACAGAAAAACGTGTTTTAACATATTAGATGACATTCGTGTTAAACTGAATAACACCAACCCGGACCAGATTTATATATCATGCATTCGGTTCTTTATGAGATAGCCTTTGTCCCGTTTTGAGCTACAGAATTTATCCTGTCTGTTCAATGACGTGTATGAACTCTCGGAACCGTATCAGGCTCCTCGTCTCCTGGGCAGCCATCCTCGGCAGTCTGTAATAATAAATAAAGATATTCTGCAGTATATGCGTCACCCAATATTACGTAGTGTAAAATTACATTTAAACACATTCAATGCTCAATACCTGACTGCACAACATTAATTATAACCTTAAATGATTATTAAATAGGATTGTTTGCTTGAATAGGATGACATAGTTGAACACAAAATTCTTTGTAATTACTTTTCGTTTAGATAAAGATGCCATACACACCTGCTCTTCAACCTCCGCGGAGTGCAGGTATATCCGAATTGGGTATGTCTTTCTGTTTGTACATAGTATATCTACACTATCTCTTACGTGTTGGTCGTGTTGGGAAGCTTTTTCCCGTTGAAGTGGGCAAAGTAATATGTTAGGTTGCTAATCTCATGGTTTTGACTTTCGTTTACACCACTTGGAAAATATACAACATTAATAATAACCTTAAATAGTTAAATAGGATTACCAAATTGTATAGGATGACATAGTTGAACACAAAATCCTTTATCATTACTTTTCTTTGAGTAATATGTCAAGCACAGGAACATAAACTTAAGTGTTAAAATAAAACACTTAAACTAAAGTTAAAATAAAACACTAAAAATGCACTCCAACAACTAGTGTTATCTTGTGTCATAAGTCTTTTATTACCTTTTTTAAATAAAAAAATGTACAGGTTTCAATGTCAATGGTTAAAAGAAAATCGCTAGCAGTTATGATTCCCGGATTGTCAAATCCGCCACCTCGCCATGACACTCCACCTTCCGGATGGTCATCCTCACAGTACTGCCGATGTGACTTTAAATATTACCTCACTCACTATCCTCACGTCTTGCTTTATATACTACCCATCAAAGTTTAGAGACTCACTGTAGTGTAAACGTAGCCACTTACTTCAGTCAACTGTTCTAACTAGATTTTGCAAAAATATTTCATACTGTTTAAAGGTACTGTTTACACATGAACTGATGTATTGTAAATCAAATTTGTATCGTGGAAAAGATTATTGTTAAGTGAGTTCAATAAATGATGAAACTCAGTGAATATTGGCGAATTCTGAACAAAACTTTACACCAAAACGCAAGTGTTCAGATTCACGATATATGCACATGCTTTCAGCAATACTGTGCATAATCCTCGTATAATGCATCTGTTCGCAGATAGTTCCCTCAAGTTAGAGAGAAATTTCATCTTAGATATAACCCTATATACATACATAACATATAGTGAGTGCTTTAAGTGAGTCTAAACTTTGATGGGTAGTGATTGTAGCAGAGGACATCACGTTTTCAGTTTTATAGCTGATGTTTCGTCGACTGCCAAATAAAATTTCAAAATACGTTTTCTAATGTCTACGCGTGACGTGCAACACGATCTAGAAGTACTTCACAGCATGATACCTAGGTGGTTGACCAAGTTAATAGTTACTCACTGGCTCCTTCAACCCTGTTCTTCTGTGATGGAAAAGAGGTAGGTGGGAAGATTCCAGTAAATACCCAGAGCGATACAGGTTAGTTTTTGGTTGTTGCCAATCTGCTTTAGGCCATGGGCCGAAAGTCACAAGGCCTCTCTAAAATAGCAGGGGGTCCAAGTTTTAGGTGAAGAGAAAAACAGTTTATCAAATTATTCCATCTAGTATACTTGTTATAAGAATGCAATGTTTTCCTAAAAATATTTGTTTGCTATGGAATAGCACGGGTCGAAATATGAACATAAAACCTCAACTTTTTGCTCAAATTGGCTGCATGTACATTGAGTGTGAATGCACTCATGTTTGTAAATACCTCATATTTTTAACAGTAAGGGAGCCCATGGAATTGACTGCTTCTCATGCAATGCATTTTGGGGTAAAAATCTGTCCATCAATGCAATAAATAAAGTCAGCATTCTTTACAAAGAGTAATCTGTTGAAACATTTTTGTGAACGAAACGTCCTTGAACTATCATGGTTTCCCCTTGAGCTGAGATTTCTGGTACACAAAACATCAGTTCAAACATTGTCATCAGGGTCATGATCAAGTATTTTCCTTGTGCTAAGATTTCTGGTACACAAAACATCAGTTCAAACAATGTCATCAGGGTCATGATCAAGTATTTTCCTTGTGCTAAGATTTCTGGTACACAAAACATCAGTTCAAACAATGTCATCAAGGTCATGATCAAGTATTTTCCTTGTGCTGAGATTTCTGGTACACAAAACATCAGTTCAAACATTGTCATCAGGGTCATGATCAAGTATTTTCCTTGTGCTGAGATTTCTGGCACACAAAACATCAGTTCAAACAATGTCATCAAGGTCATGATCAAGTATTTTCCATCATCTGAGATTTCTGGCACACAAAACATCAGTATAAACAATGTCATCAGGGTCATGATCATGTATTTTCCTTGAGCTGAGATTTCTGGCACACAAAACATCAATTTAAACAATGTCATCCATATCATGATCCAGTCTTTGCCTTGTGCTGAGATTTTTGGCACACAAAACATTAGTTTAATTATTGTCATCAGTGTCATCATCATCATCATCAGTAGTTCTGTCAACTTGAAGTTGTGTGCGATTTTGGCATTCTCCACATCGACACATAGCAGTGCACTCAATACCCGATCTTCTACAAGAGCACTTTTTTGGAGTTACAAAGTGTTTTCTTGCAATTACAGTTGATGTTCTGTAGCACATTTTCAGGAGCAATGGGCAAGGTTTTCCATTTTATAGACAGCTGTGAATCAGCTTTTGTCCATCCATGAGCTTCAGGGTCTGGAGCCATAAGTTTGGGCTGTTGAAAGCATCTGTATATTCGTGCCTGATAGTTTGCCCTCATCATGTGGAGATTTAAACTGTCACTATTTGGTGGAAGGGTCAAATCACTTACATTTCCAAACCTGAAGCAGTTGAATCGAGCACTGTTCACATCACAACAATTCTCCCATCAGTACAATTCACACACAAAGGTTTCCAAATCCTGCTGCAATGAATCTTTTATCTTCCAGCTCTTTCCCAAATCACAGAAAGCTCTTGTGTATGTTGGAGATTTCAACATAAGCTTCAGTGCCTTCACCTTTCCTTTTCCCCTTGAATGCGCTAATGCTGTCGCATCCAGTAAACGGATGAAGGCCTACCAGTGCTTCTGCTGTGTGACCTTCAGTCTTGCTACTCATCTCAAGCAAGTCAAGTTCTCTTTATCGGTTTCCTGCCATCAAGAACAAAATGAGACGAGCTGTCACTAACGTTGATACCCATAGAGCAAGAACAAAGACATCAGTGTCCACTGTGCAGATGACAATGTCGGTTGGTAGAGTAGCAGATTGTGATGCATGTACTGCATGAAGGAGCATTCTTGTGTCAGCTTCTTCTTGATCTGAATGCAGCTCTGGTACATCTTCAACAACTAGATATTCTCCTATAATGGATTTGTAGAACTTGAAACAAGCTTCACCTTGTGTTGCATAAAGATGGATGCTTGATAAACTATCCGGGGGAGTCTTTTTCCATTCTTCAACAAGAAAAGTGAGCAGTCCTTCCTTGTTACAGCCACTTGCCAAATATTTTTTCATTTGTTTTGGCATCTTCTGTTCAGCGCTGTTAATGCGGATTTTCGTTTCTCCATGCATTGCTCTTTTCTGACGCTCAGATTGCTTTATGGACATAGCTTTGTACCTGTCTGCAACAAAGTCTACTCTTCTGGCACTGTACTTCTTGCCAAGGGAAATTAACTGCTGTAAAATGATAGCAGCAAATTTGCCAAAAAGTGTCAGGAAACTGGCGCTGTTGTTGTATCAAGGCCATAGCATCAACAATAACAACTGTGTTTGTGTTGAACACAATATTCTTTGTCAGTGAATGCACTTGGAGGATTTTCTCTACTTCATGTAGCAACACAGCCTTAGCTGTCTTGACCATTGACCCATCAAAGTTAGCCAAAGCAAAGGGAGGGATGACAGTGGATATCTGAGGATATCTTTCAAATCCACGTCTTTCTCTTTGGCAATCATTAACAAGCGGACCAACAGATCTCTGTGTTCTTTCAAGGAAGCAGTTACTTGGGTTGTCTTTGGTGCTACTTTCTTGTCAACATCTGAAAATGTTTTGCTTGCTGGAAGAACGAGTTTATCAAACACATCCTTTCGTCCCTCAATCAGTCGCTCATTGACACAATTTTTTAAGTATTCTTCTCCACGGTCAAATGCAGATGACAAGTCAGATCGGACATTTTCTGGGGCAACCTTTCCTGAACAGATGTTCACGATTTCATTGCCTACTTCATTTGTGAATGGATTAGAAAATTCTGTAATTGTCATCATTACATTTTGGACAGCTTGTTCATCTGATACAGTTCTGGATGCTACTGTCTGGGGTGTCGAAGAAGACTTGTCAGAATTTGTTCATGACATGTTGTAGCATTAATTTGCAATAGCTGCTCTAGCAGGGTGACTCAGAATCCATCGCCTCACTGCACCCTTGTTGAGAGTTATGCCTGTCAGTCCACCTCTGGCCTTTGAATCTCGGTTGTAGGTCTGTTCAATAACTTGATCACAGGCAGTCATGGAAAATCCATGATCATCATGCCTTTTGACTGCAAGCTCCCCATCAGACAAACGTGAGTGAATAAAGGGATGAGTAGATGGGAGATCTCTCATCTCAAGATAATAGATGGGAAGATATCTTGAGTAGTTGATTCTGCCATAGGCCATAAACCAAAGTATCATGTCACGGATGGTTGACAAATGTAGCTCCCAGTTTCCTTCTCTTGTTCCACTTAAAAAGAGCAGCAGCAGCTCAACCATCTCAAGGTAAGATGTCCAGAAGGCATACATGTCATTGCATCCACATTTGATCTTCACATAACGGTCATAGTCTTCTAGGAAGCGTATCACAGAATCTGTTTCAAGGCAGCTCATGAATGTGGTTGGAAAACTGTCATGGATACTGTGGATAACAGTAATGACTTCTTGGTTCCTTTCTGGTGATAGATGATCCAGGTATTCCTGTATTCGTAAGCGATGCATAGCTTCAGAGAGTATTTTATGGCATCTCAGACTTCTGTTGTAATGATGTCCACTAATGACACCATTAATGGACCCCTCAGCGACTAGATTGGACTCAATGGCAATATCGCGCAATCCAGCATCTCCAAAACGTTTGCCAATAGCACCCAGAAAAGCCATGGCAGTATGAAATTCGCCTAAACGAATTACCAGTTGATCCCTAAATTCCTGACGACCATTCCAACGTATGATGTCTTTCAGTAGCATTTAGAAGTTGTACATTCCTGGGCTCTAGCATATATTGCTTGATCCATGACGAGGACTATAGCAGAAAGGTTTAATGAATTGGCAATTAATAAACTCTTCTCCAGAATGGCATTGACAGTTGACTTGTCAGTAGGACTTGCATCTATCACGGGAAGATAGCCAATGGTACTCAGAGGATGTGCATCATTCGTCAATAGCTGGTTACAGACTGTCCAACCAGGAAGCAGAAATTGATCCTGTAATAAAAGAATGCTCTTTACTTACTAAAGACCATGTATCATTATAGCAAAATATATTCGTTGATATGTTTCACCATGTTGACCAAGTGTTAATTTATCATGACAATGACCAGTGACCACATTACTGTCAAACTGGGGAATATATTCCAGTGAGCTCCATCTGCCAAAACCATCACAAAAAACGAAAAAGCCAGGCAACAATATCTAAAGAAAATAGGTTTTTAAAATTAATTATTGAAAAATATAAATCCTTCTAACTCAATACTTTTTTAAAATATTACAATTTATAAAAAGTATACTCACATCATTAATTGTAACAGATTACTTCAATAAGCCCTGGTCAAACTGTCATTCTTGAGTTCATAAAAAAGTTATGCAACACCATGCAGATTATTGAAAAATCAAGTTAATGTCAAATTAAATACTAACTGTGCTAACTAGTATCCTGCCTGACTTGGATATTCCATTCTGCAGGTCAGAATTCAAGTAGAACGAATATTTGATGCCAGTGATTGCAAATAATACACTTTTACAGTATACATACTCAGTGTTTCCGTTTACCGGCATATGCCGGTATTTTACCGGTAAAAAAATCAAAGGACCGGCATATTTATGGCAAACAAGTCCTGGGGACCGGCAATAAATACACCCGGTTAAATCATTTCCTCCAAATTGGCAATACAAATTACCAGCAACTGTTAGATTAAAGGAAACTTCCATGTAAATTCGATCTGCACCATATGCGATACGTGTAAGGAATTCCGTGTCTATTTTTAGTAACAGTCCCAAGCGATTATTGTCATTGGCTGGTCGTCTCGCTTAGCCTCGATCCAGATGAGAGGCATTTTGGCGTGAGGTTATAATGCATCAGATTTCAATACTCTATCGGGGCCAATAGTAAGAAAACTTTACTATGGGGAATGGACATATTAAGAGACCATTCATAGTGTATGGCTACGGTGTTGATGATGATTTTAAGAGGGGCTGTCACCCATTTTGTTCTTGGGAGGCAGGGGGGTCAACAATTCTGTACACATATACTGGGAGTAAGCAATTTTGTACATAAAAATATTAAGCTTGGAAATTGTGGGAAGGGACGGAGGTCACTGATTTTGTACAAGATTTGCAAAGTGGGGGGCGTCACATAACTTGTACGTACATTTTAGGGGATCCATTCACATTGTTCATGCTTCTTTAAAAAAATCATCATCACCCCCCTTGCTCTAAATTATGAACGGTCCCTAAGTTTTCAGTTTGAAAATGGCGGCCTCAAAGCAGACGACGCTTTCTGGGCTCTTTGGTTCTAAACGAAAATTAGACGTAAACGAGAAACAATCAACTTCCAGCAAAACAGTATGTGAAACAAAATCCAAAAAGTCCAGAAAATTCAATACCGACTGGAAAGAGGAGTTTCCATGGCTCCGATATGACAATCAAAAGCAGTCGGGGGCGGGTGTTATGTTTTGTCGAATTTGTGAGGCTGCGGCTAAAATAAACGGCTTTACAAAAGGCTGTATCAATTTCCAAAAATCTGCCCTTAAAGAGCACCGTGACAGCGCTAGCCATCATGAAGCAGTGGTTCGTTTATCTCAAAAGAAGGCTATGGAATCTCACATTAGTGATATTCAGACGAAAAATGATGATAGCTTGACTGCTATGATGCGCACAGTTTTATATATGGCTAAGGAAAATGTACCAAGAAACAAGTTCAAGGGGCTTATTGACCTACAGAAGAGAAATGGCTGTTCATCTTTAAGTGGAGTTATATACTCACATTCTGATTCAATTGACGAAATGGAAGAAGCATTAACTGAGTGTACCATTGAGAATCTTAAACAGAAATTGTCGCAAAGTCGGTTTGTCGGGCTAATCATGGATGAAACTGTGAACGTAACTGTGGAAAAAAACCTCATCATGTTTGCTCGCTTAGTACACCATGGAAAAGCAGAGACTATCTTTTTTAGGAAATTTCACAGTGCACAGCGGTAATGCGGAGTGCATTGCTGAGAAAGTACGACAGGTAGCTGACCAATGGGGCATTCCACTCGAAAAAATCATTGGTTTGGGAACTGACGGTGCCAGTGTCATGACAGGCCGCAAAACTGGCGTCGGTGTTCGACTTACACAGGACTCACCTTTTCTTATCCATGTGCATTGCATTGCCCATCGCGTGGCTTTAGCTTCACAGGATGCTGCTAAACTTTCAGGAACTATTACAGAGTACCGCAATACATTAAATCAGGTGTACAAACTTTATCAGTATTCAGCGACGAGGTACGCAAGACTGAGGAACTTAGTGAAGTTTTGGATGATTCCGAGTTTTCGAGCATAAAACAACCATGTGCTGTTAGATGGCTCTCTTTGGGGCGGGCTGTAAACTCAACCAAGCGTAACTGGCCTGCATTAGTCATGGAGATCGAAGAGGGAGGGCGGAACGGAACAATACGGCAGCAACTGGAATTTCAAAAACTGAAAACGTATTCTTTCGTTGCAACAACATACATGTTGAGTGACGTTTTGCCGCTGATGGAAAAACTTGTGACCGTTTTCAAAAGAAGTGTTAAATCTGGCCATCATCGGACCAATGGTCTTGTCCACTAAGGAATCACTCCAATATTTGATTAAAAGAAAGGGGGAGAACGAAAAGTTCCTAGAAGGGAATATGAAAGAAGGACCGAGTCAGTTCCGAGGAATTACCATAACCTATGCTGACAAACGATCAATGGAAGCCTTCAATACAATGAGGACGTGCTTTATTGAAGATCTTGTGGATTCCCTTGATAGGAGATTCCCAGAGAAATCTCTGGACCTTCTACAAGCGTTGGACAATGTGCTTAATCATGACAAATATCCAGATAGAAAGAAGATCTAGCCAACTATGGTGGGGATTCCTTACGGTGCTTCTAGATCACTTCTGCCCTGTGATTGGTCAAGACAACAATGACGTCACGACGCCTTATATCGACCGGGATCGGTCGCTTCGTGATTTCCAGCAATTCAAACGTGTCAATTCTGGCATTGGAAGTGGTAATTTTGACATGACTTGCAAAGTTCTTATAACTGAATATGCTGACATCTTCCCAGACTTCAGTACTCTCGCTGAAATTGCGCTCACAATACCCGTGAGTAGCGTGCCTGCCGAGAGGGGATTTAGCTTGCAAAATAGAATCCACACTGCAAGCAGAAACCGTCTTGCGCAGCATCGTATGAACAATCTAATGATTCTCAACATGCATGCTAATGACCGTTTCGACTTCTCGAGAGCATCCGAACTATTCCGTAAAACCAAGAAAAGAAAAGTGTAATTAACAGTTGATAACTGTACAAGTACTGCCAAACAAACTTGCGGTTTACTAGTAACGTGACGTCATTTCACATTTCATGTTCGAATGAGTTTGATACGTTTGTTGTTATTAAAAATGAAACACAAACACACACACACATTCTTGTTGTTATCTTTATTTAACATGGAAAAGAAGTGGACTGGTGAAAATAACAAGGGACTGGTATATTTGAGGCTTACCAGTCCCATGGACTGGTAAATTCAAAACTCACCGGAAACACTGATACTTGGCCGAACTTGGCAAGAACCAATGCTTGATCAATCTTCTTTGCTTTTTCTTGAACATTCAGTTTCCGGGATAAATCTGGCTTCTTGCCTGCAAGATGATGATGCTGCTGATGATGATACTGAAGTTGTTAGAAATGCCACTTACCATTTATCAACAACATTATCACATTATCACTATAGAGTACTTTAAGGACTAACTAAATTAGTAAATATACATGGTTGTTGTTTTCAGTAAAGAAAATATATTTCATATTCAACAAAAGAAACACAGTAACCTTGAAACTGTGATGGTCCTTTTCTTTTTGATCCCTGGAAAGGAACTATCACCGAAGATGGTGCATCAATTGTTCGTTTCCTGTCCCGACTCATTCTTGCAATTTCCTCTGGGCTCCCTGGGGCATCAGAACTGGCAGTCTGTATTATAATGCCATTTGTGTTGTGGGTTGTACCCTTGCCTGGAAATGTTATTTAACCATTATGCTCTACACACAGTGAATAAAAGACAAACTAACAATTTTCATGCTATCTAGGCATAAAACAGAAACAAACTGTCAACAGAGACAGTTTTAAATTTCTAAGCAATATAATACAATTGATCTCCATAATAATTTAAAATAATAGAATAAATCCCAATATGGTACCATTAAGAGTATCAACAGTATAAATCATTTCATAGTTTTATAAATTATATATTAATCATTCTATTCCTAACATGCATCTATTTCTAAAATGTTTACATACCTAAGTAACCTAACTAAATTTGATTGGGGAATAGCTCACATGTACTTTCAATTTTGGAATAGAAACAAATAGTCCATGAGGCAGTATTACTGCAGTAAGTGGAGGTGATTGTGTGTTAGGTTTATGGTTGTATATTAAAGGTGTAATCACAGGAGAAAAGAGACAAGATATAATTAAGCATGCAGTATCTAATGTGCCAACCTGACATGCAATCTGGCTGCCTGCTAAACAATTTAAGCTTACTAAAGACCAATATAGTAAAGTACAGTACTGAGTATAGAATGAGAGAAAAGCAGAAACAGTACAAGCACCCACACCAAAAGCATGATAGAATGTGCAAAAGAGTGAGTAGACTGAGGGGATATTGATTACCAAATCTTACATGTTCATGATATACCTGCTTCAGTGAAACCTGTATAAAAATAAATATTGCATCATATAACACTTTCAAAACATTGTCTTGTTAAAATATAATTAGTTTAGTGAATTTGGATGTCCATGTTAAATCCAATTAGATATTATTCACCATTTTTAAAATAAAAAACATTCATGGACATTCAATATTTGGAGACTTTACATAATTTAACATTGATGTCATAATGCATACCTGACAGAGTTTCTTCACCAAAATTGTTATCCCACACTTGAGTGGTGAACACATTGCTGCAAAATCCAGTCGGAACATCCGTTTCACGCTGTAATTGTCTTGTGGCCAAAGCTGTGTCATGCTCAAGAGTCACAGAGTGGGAAACACAGTGTCCAAAGGAGTTAAGTAGCTGCTGTAATTTTGCAGAACCTGTAAGGTGTCTTAAAGTCACACCTAAAGCTAAGTGTTTTGGCATAAGCTTTCTCCCCATAGAGGCAAGACAAATTATGTCTTGTGCTAGAGAAAGTATCTTTTTCTTGTTGTCATTTCGTTCCATCTCTACCAGCCTTGGACTAAACTTCACTTCACTGATTCCACAACACCATGCCAGAAAATTAAAGAGAACTGGTGGAACTACTCTCTGGCACTCATGTAATGAAAAATTCTCTTCACTGGGAGGCCACATAGAGACACCAGGTGAAGAAGCAACAGCTTTTCGAATGATGATAGCAGCACGATAGATTTGTGCAAATTCTTCCTGACAGGAGTGTTCTGAAGATGATTGGTTGCTGAGCACCTCATGTTCCAATACCTGAGAGTCACTATTACTTTCTGTTTCACTGTCAGAATATAGGTTCTCCAATTCATGCTCACTGAACTGAATAAAAGTGTCTTCATTTTGTGCTTGATGAAAAACAAATTCACATGTAGTTGCATCTGGCTGAACATACTTCAGAAGTGGGTACCTTCTTATTAGTCTCAACTTGACCTGATCATTCCGATATCCAGTAATATCAACATCCTCTACTTGCTGTGCAAATGTAACAAAGAGTTTTGTGAGCAAATTCATTCGAAGTACTTCTCCCTTTCCCATAATACGTTTCTCAATTACTTCTGTGCAGAATTTGTCAAAGGCTTTGTTTAGAGGCCGTCCAAGTGAATCATTCTGATTATATACACATTTAGTGTAAAGTTTACAACATGATGCATGGTACCGCACTTCTATACATACCGGGTCTAAGTCCCCAATCTGTACTAAAATCTGGTCATCTCCTTTCAGTCGTGCCGCCTGTAACAGTTTGTCAGCAGTTGTCTCACATGTAACAAGGGCCTCTTGTTTTCTCTTCAAGGATGTTTTGTCAACAATAACTTTAGCCTTCTTACAGATGATACACTCCTCGGGAAGCACATGCTTTGATCGCCTTGATACATTTTGTGCTGTAGTTACTTTTGATCTAAGAACAAGTCTTGCCTTTTTAGGGGATGGTTCACCACTAGGCACATCTGTCTCTCCACTATCACGTCGTAAACACCCTTTATCTCTTCGCTTGATACCTTGATCCAGATGTTTCTTGTTTGTAAACCGCTGGTAGCAGTACCGGTGATAACCTGCAGTGTCACGAGCTGTGCTGTCGAATTTGGAAGCTATTTCTTTCTCCTTTCCATCCAAGGTAATCCATATATTCATGCAGTCACAAACCTTTCGCCAAGAGACATCTGAAACCGCTATGATAGGCTCATTTACACAATGCAAAATGTGACAAATGAATTGTGGTCTGAGGCCTGATATGGTGAAGGTAGTGCAAGTGTTAAATTTGCTATATGTCTGTTATTTTCAAAATATTCACTTGAAACTTTGCATATTTACTGCCAGGAGCATTTGAAATATGTATACATGTGTTTTCAACTGAAAATATTTTTTACATTTTTATGAATTTATTTCAGTTTTTCTGATTGCATATTGTTTTTAGTGGAGTGAGCGGACGCATCATATTTAGACATATTGGTTCAATTATGGTGAATGTATGTATCACTACACCGCACGTGCCTTATAGATGCATGTGATACCTAAAATGGCTAATATTCAAGCCTTTTTCCAAAGATATATAGAGCCAAGTTTGTGAAGAATTCAGTCCTCAGTGTGGAAAATGGCATATGTCATATGTGGACTGGAGCATGCAAGCACAGTGGGTATGGGGTGTTGCGGTATTTTTGCCCCATAGCCTACCAGTGGCGTACTACTCATGCTCACAGGCTGAGTTTTATAGTACACAGGGAAAACTTCGACATAGGTGATTACTGACATCAGCCATTTGTGCCACAACAGTAAATGCACTCTATGTCGAACACCTGTCTGCTGAACCACACAGCATAAATGCAGACAGAGTGGCCTGTGTAAACAGGGTGTGTAAAGGCCATGCACCTTTCCCAGATTGCCTTTTGGCATTGAAGTTATAGGAGAACAGAAAACAAAGGCAAAGTATATGAAAATACTATATCATATAATATAGTAAAATTTTATTCATATTTCCTGATTTTCACCACAGTCACAGTTAGTTGTGACATAGCATTTATTCACAACACATAGCTTTAGAGACATTATGATGTATTTAAACTTAAAGTTACACAGTATCTGTCTTTAGGAAGTAATTAGCACATACAGTTCTGCAGCATCACTGCACATTTTCAATATTTTGAATAAGAATGTTCATGGTTTTTGCTGAAACACGGTACAGGGTCTAACTGACCCTTTCTGTAGTCCCCACTCTGCTTGTCAGTCTGTTTAGACTTCAAATGTTCACAGATCTTGCTTCCATGCTGTGTAAGTTTCCTTTTCACAACACTGGGGCTTTTTCTGATAGTCTTTGTGATAGGTAGCCTCCTTGTCCATTTGTTCAAGTGACCGCACAGCTCGGCTTGAAAGTTTCACCCCAGAATGGTCGCACTTGTCGATTGCTGATGTCCCAGGGCCATTGTTGAGCCTGTGAATTGTGGAAGAAGCCCTCCCAATCATGTTCCTTGAAAAGTTTACATTCTTTGGCAAAGAAATACTCAGTGATCGATTGGCAGCTTCACATTTCTGTGTGTCTGTGTACAGTTTCATTTGTTCCACCACTTCTACACTTAACTTCATTTTGAGAATTTCATTAAGCAAGTGTTTATCATTGTCATCCATATTGAAATGAGTGATACTGTTGCAGCCGAGGAACATGGATCGCTGCCACCAGCTGTTTGTTACACCTCCTCTACACACAACTGAGTACCGGGCACACCTGGAGCAGTCGCCGCTGTAGCACTTGAGGGTTGCTTCGGAGCACTCTTGGTAAGATACTACGAAGTGTTTTCATGTCACCTGCATGATCTTTCATGAGTTCTTTTTAGTATCAGGCTGCACCGTGCTTTGACATCCTGGCTCAGCACCTTCTTTGCTTCCATTTTATGTGTATGAGTAGTGCCGGGGAACATATCTGGGTTAAAATCAGCTCTGTAACATTGTCGGAACTGTCCTTGAGCCAAGTGGGTTGGGTCAGCTAGCCTTTGCACCTTCCACATTGGGTCCAACACTTTGAGAGCTTTGTCTACTCCATCTGCAGACTTCGAATCCCCATCGGTTGTGGCATACTTTATGAGTACACCCTGTAGTGCGAGCTGATTACCAATGTCCTCTCCCATTTTGAACTCAGAGAATGGAGTGAAGGCCGACATGTTCGCAGTACAGTCTGGGTGCCCCCCTGGACATTTCACATCCATGCCTTTTCCTTTCAGCCAGGCACCAGTCCAGCAGAGCTTATTCTGGAATGACGCACCGACGATGAACTTCTTGTCAGTAACAGTTTTAGCAGGCGATGCCGATTGCTTGTGATGCATTCTGCCCTGGCTTCTTCCTGCTTGCTATTGTTGTCGAGTTGTATCGGCCATCCATAGCAATGTTCATCTCACACGGCTCAGTACCCCTCTTCGATTAACTTCCTTCACTAACTCCACCTTTTCTGCCATATCCTTAGTGTTAAGTTCAGTTACAGCCTTAGCCACCTTGTTGGAGGTCCTCTGCATACTGCTCCTGCATGGGGTGGAATGTCCATGTTGGCCATCAGTAACCTCGCTCTCGTATTTCCTATAGGTGTGTCCTGTAGACCCAAGGCAAGTCCCACGTTGGGTGCTGCTGGGTTTGGCCCAGGTTTACCCGTCTCGATTTCTTTGTATAACTTCATTTCAGGTGCTACAAAGTCACATGTGACACATTTCAGTGTTATTTTCCAGCATGCTCCCCATTTTCTCTCCTTGGCTATCTGCAGCTGAGGGTCGTCACAGTCACTGGATGTTGACCGATGCAGTCGCAGAGCTGTGTTCCATGCTTCGGCCACCTTTTCATTGTCGACTAGTCGCATACCCTCCAAGTCATCTTTGCTTGACTCTTGTTTCAGGTCATGCTTGCTCGTTGAAGTGGGACGCAGCAGCCTCACTGAAGTAGAGATGCCATCGCAGTCAGGTGTTGACAGCCCAGTGCCATCCAGCCTTGACTTGGTGACCAGGGAGAAGTCTTCTGCACTCAACCTAGTGACTGTCCTGGGTATCTGGGGTGGAGAGGCACTTTCCGACTCTTCCGATTCAAGGGTGAGACCTTTGTTCCAGGGAGTATGGCCTTTGCTGAACTGTGACTTGATTCTCTTGCGGTCGCCTTTCATCGTGATTGTGTCGAATAGAACTAATGAGCTCTGAGCACAGCATGTACTTATATATCCCATCTCTGTGTGTTGTCACTGGCACTGACAAGCAGGTATATGTATTAGAAAATGTATTGGAAACTCAAGACATACACATGTCTTGTGCCACTGGTGTAAATCGCAGTTGAGCCATACACACCTACTGACACTTTGTCGCGTATTGGCCAGGTGTCAGGTGAGAGTGGACACGCTTGGTGACTCGCTGCACTTGATTGGCTGTACTCAGCTACTTGTGCAGCCAATCAATTTAACGAGGAAAGATAGGGCTTTCTAATGAATAAAAATTTAACAGTTTCAATTTTCATTTTTTGTTGAAAAATATGAACTTTAATGGAATTATTTTAGTATAAAATGCATGTATGTATATAAAAATAGAGAAAAAAATGAAAAAAATGCTTTAATGGACTGAAACCATTGTCCTTTGATAGCACATGCAATAACAAAAGAGGAACACTTGATGTTTTTGTCAATTTCCACCTGGTTATGGAGTTATAGACAAATTAGAATTGTGTTTGAAATTAATTCATGCCCAAAATTAACACTCAAATGCCAGAGATACAGCATGGAGTAAAAGGAGTATAAGTCAAGTTGTGTATGAGTTAGGGCTTTCAAATTTTCTGTGAGCCTTACATGGTGTCTGGGCTTAGTATTGATGAAGTTTTATTTAATTTGCAGACTTTTTGGTGTCCTGATATGGTGAAGGTAGTGCAAGTGTTTAATTTGCTATATGTCTGTTATTTTTCAAAATATTCACTTGAAACTTTGCATATTTACTGCCAGGAGCATTTGAAATATGTATACATGTGTTTTCAACTGAAAATATTTTTTTTTACATTTTTTATGAATTTATTTCAGTTTTCTGATTGCATATTGTTTTAGTGAGTGAGCGGACGCATCATATTTAGACATATTGGTTCAATTATGGTGAATGTATGTATCACTACACCGCACGTGCCTTATAGATGCATGTGATACCTAAAATGGCTAATATTCAAGCCTTTTTTCCAAAGATATAGAGCCAAGTTTGTGAAGAATTCAGTCCTCAGTGTGGAAAATGGCATATGTCATATGTGGACTGGAGCATGCAAGCACAGTGGGTATGGGGTGTTGCGGTATTTTTGCCCCATAGCCTACCAGTGGCGTACTACTCATGCTCACAGGCTGAGTTTTATAGTACACAGGGAAAACTTCGACATAGGTGATTACGACATCAGCCATTTGTGCCACAACAGTAAATGCACCTATGTCGAACACCTGTCTGCTGAACCACACAGCATAAATGCAGACAGAGTGGCCTGTGTAAACAGGGGTGTGTGTAAAGGCCATGCACCTTTCCCAGATTGCCTTTTGGCATTGAAGTTATAGGAGAACAGAAAAACAAAGGCAAAGTATATGAAAAATACTATATCATATAATATAGTAAAATTTTATTCATATTTCCTGATTTTCACCACAGTCACAGTTAGTTGTGACATAGCATTTATTCACAACACATAGCTTTAGAGACATTATGATGTATTTAAACTTAAAGTTAAACAGTATCTGTCTTTAGGAAGTAATTAGCACATACAGTTCTGCAGCATCACTGCACATTTTCAATATTTTGAATAAGAATGTTCATGGTTTTGCTGAAACACGGTACAGGGTCTAACTGACCCTTTCTGTAGTCCCCACTCTGCTTGTCAGTCTGTTTAGACTTCAAATGTTCACAGATCTTGCTTCCATGCTGTGTAAGTTTCCTTTTCACAACACTGGGGCTTTTCTGATAGTCTTTGTGATAGGTAGCCTCCTTGTCCATTTGTTCAAGTGACCGCACAGCTCGGCTTGAAAGTTTCACCCCAGAATGGTCGCACTTGTCGATTGCTGATGTCCCAGGGCCATTGTTGAGCCTGTGAATTGTGGAAGAAGCCCTCCCAATCATGTTCCTTGAAAAGTTTACATTCTTTGGCAAAGAAATACTCAGTGATCGATTGGCAGCTTCACATTTCTGTGTGTCTGTGTACAGTTTCATTTGTTCCACCACTTCTACACTTAACTTCATT